TATACATTCTCTAGTCATTCCTTCTATGTCTAACAAACAAACAAAAAAACAGATCAAGTTCACATATTTACGAATGTGAAAGAATGGCTATTTGTAAAAATGAGTAAATATTTGATTAATTTGTGTTTAGGTCTGAAATCCTTAAAATTTCATTTCCCAATAATTGGATATAGGCTGTAAATGTAATGCCAGGTACCAGAAAAATTAAGTAAGAGAAGAAGTTGTGAAATGTAAGAAATTTCAGCCACCTAAGATTTTCCTACAAGGAGCTCTTGGATATAAATGCATTTATTTTCTGTGTTTGATCTTCCAACTCTTCACACTGTTTTTATACTTGGGTGCTCATTAAAGCAGACAGGCAGCCCACTCATGAATTCATCAGGCTGTTTGCTTTTCTTACATATTGTCCAAACATATAAAATCCGGGGCTGAAAAAGCAGCTTCCAGGTGTTGGGGATCAAGTCATCTCAAGTCTTGTTGCTCTGCCATCTCTAACTTGCAGATTTTATCTTGTGGTCCAAGATGGCTGCTCCATTTCTGCATGGCAGCCAGCAAGAAGGGGAAAAGAAATAAGGGACAGGCATACTCCTTTCCTTTTAATGTTACAGTCACTTCCATGTTTATTCTTTATCTTTTTTTTAACCCTAGTTTTGAGGATTATGCAATTGTTTTCTACTCTTTTTGGAAGTCTTATTTTGCTGACAATGGCAGTGAGGGACTATCTGAAGGTTTGGTTTAAAGAGAGCTCAAGAGCTGTGGAGACTTAATTATTGGACGGGAAAGTTGTAAAAAAAAAATCACTGAATCACTGTGCTGACTGAGATATCAAGAATATTTGTGAGAACATTAAAGTCAGTAATTCAACATTTATTGAATACCAATTTGGGAGGTGACCTTATGTAAAACCCAGAGTACACAGATGGTCATTTTACTTACACCTTGTTCTTGGTATCCTCACAACATGTGCTGAGTGGCTTCTGATTTCATTCTGCCAATAAAGGCTGTGGTACAATGTGTGTTTTTCCCCAACTCCTGTGTTTCACCAATAAAATATTTTAGTATGTGTGTTTCTGTGAGCAGGTAAAGGCATAACTCTATGAGTCAGTCTAGCACAGAACTCTAAATGCTCCCACCTCTGTCCCCCAGGTCAGTTTATCTTGAACATTGGAAAAATTTCTGTCTGCATAATGATTTGGACTTGATTAGCAACCTGTAAAGAGTTGAATACTTATATAATGGAAGATTGTTTGTTGGTTATAGAGTTATGGGCCCTTTTTTGTATGTTCTTTTTGCTAAGTTTTATTTTATTTCTTTGTGATATTTAGATAATGCCTTTATAATAAAAAGAGAAAACCCTTTATTCCAAAAAGAGTAAGAATTCATTAACTTACACCAAAGTGATTTTAAGAGACTCAAAAGTTAACAGAAAAATGAAAAATACAGTAGTCATTCTCTTAACTGTTTTACATGGTGGCACAGATGTCGTTTTGGATTCAAGAAATTCAGAATTTAATTACATTGAGTAACATTTTTTTTTCTTCTGGAATAATTGTTGAAAGCTATGTAGTTATAGTAAAACTCACAACTCTTCTGAAACAATATTTCTTTTATTGCTCTATTGGCACAACAGTGCTGGGATTTCTGTTTTGCGTGATCACACTCAAGAATCTGGATGCTCTCCTACAGCTTTGCTCTCATGTCAACAGGAAAAACTGTTTTTATATCAACAGAGCAATGAGTCATTAAAATCACAAACAGAATACTCATTTCTTAACATGTTCATGTACATCAGAATATTTTATACCCTTAACAATTTTATGAACTATTATCGCCATGTTGTGTGTGAATACATTTAGGCTAAGCAGTAAATTAGAATTAACATCTTGTTTTTTTAATTTGTTTTTTTTGTTGTTTTTTTTTTTGTTTTTGTTTTTTAACATTCAAAGCCATGTTGGGCTGTGAGTGTGGAAGGTCTTATTTAGCAAAGTAGGAGAATTTAACTTAATTCTGAAGGCAGTAAGAGGTTATTAATTTTTTCTGAATAGGAGAATGATAGTACTGGAACCAGCTTTAAAAAGGTTGATCTGTGATAATGTATTCTTTGTATTGGAAGGGGAATCCTGGAGTAGGTAATTCATCTGGAATTTTTCAACACCAGAGGTGTGAAGTTGTAAGAGCTAAATTGTGGTGAGGATGGTTGTGGTAACAGAGAGGGGAGAGTAGCTGAGAGAGCTGTGACTAAAGAAGAATTTACTATTCACTACACAATGGTGAAAAAACTGGAATGTAGACTCCTTGAGAGGAAAGAACTCTTCTGTCTTTTATCATTTCCTGTGTGTAGAATTTTGCCTGATTGATTCACAGTAGACACTTGATAAACACTAACTGAACAAATTAAAATAAAAACAAGTGAATGCAATAAAGTGTAATAGGTCCTGTGATAGAGGCAGAAAGGAAGGCTTGGTAGAATGGGAGATTCTTGAATTGTGCCTAGTGGATTAGCTAGAGTGCTTCGGGAGAAAGGAGTGGAGAGGACATGAAGGCACAGAGAAGAGGTAGGCTCTGAGGCATGAAACAGCAAGGTGTGGGTGTGGAAAATCTCCAGCACTTGGCTGTTTCTCAAGGTAATGCATCACGCAGGAAAGGGTAGACGCTGGTGCTGGCCTTGAAGTGTCTGGGCATTGGGATAAGGAGTTTTGACTTATTGTAGGTTTTAAAGCAACTGAGTAATATAAAGAGATTTTTACTATAAAAATATATCTAGTGGAAATGAGTGGAAGGTTTATTGAAACCTTCTCTACATTTAAAATGAAACATTGAGGGACCACAGCCAAATGGAAAGGCTACTGAAACAATCAATGAAAGAGGTGATGTGGGCCTAAATTAAGGAAGCAATGACAGGGATAAAGATCATGAAAAGGTTTTGAAAAGGTGCAGGAGTTAGAAAGTAAAAGACAGATAATGAATTAAAGATATAGAAGGGTGAAGCAGATAGTGGCATCAGGGATGAATAGGATGAATCCCAGGGTGTCACCTAGCCCACAGGTAATACAATATGCTGAGAAATAGAAAATGGGAGGAGGAGGAGCTAGGAGAAGAAAATAATGAATTGAATTAAATTTTAGACATAATGACTTTGACGTAAGTGTTAGAGGGACAAGCAGGCAGATTGATTAGAGAGTGACCTGGGTCATGTGGTTTGGGGAGTTGTCTGGGTCAAAGTTAAGACCATGGAGATGGATAATATTGCAACAAGAGAGTATGTTGGAAGAAAAGAGGTTTAGACTGAGGGTGGAACTCTGTGGAATACTCACGTTTAAGAGTCAAGTGGAGGAAGACATATCAGCAACAAAGACCAAAACTGAGTTGTCAGAGATGTCAGAGAACTAAAAGAGCCTTGCATCAGACTGCAGAGCTTTGATAATTGAAAACTTTAAAATATCATGGGAGTGAAGGATTTCAAGAAGGAGGAATAGTACAGCAAATTTCATTAAGATTCAAGGTAGATAAATGCTTAAAAACGACCATTAAATTTGACAAATAAAATGTCACGGGTAACTTTTCTCTGAAGTATTTCGGTGGAGTGGTACAACTAGAAGCCAGATTTCAGTGGGCTCAGAATTAATGGGTCACAAGTCAACAATTCCTTCAAACACACAGCTGTGAAAAGGAGGGAGAAAGAGAGCGGTAGCTAAGGAGAATGTCAGGCTTGGAGACAATGTTATTTTGTATGTTTATCTATTTTATAAGGGTGGGAGTGATGTGAAACATGGCATCCAAATCTTTATCACCAGCCCTTACCTATCTCCTGAGCTCATAGTTTTATATTCATATGAATACTTGATACACTTTGAAATTACTCTAGGTACTTCAAATTCAATGTTCCATCTTCTACTCTAAACCAGTCTTCCTCTTGTATTCCATGTCACTCTTCACCAAGCCAGACTGGAAGCCTATACTTCATTTTCACCAACCACTTCAAAAAATTACTGAGTCATATATATATATTCCATCCTCCTTTTTATTCCTGGTATAGATCCTGATCATTTCTCAACTAGACTCCATCTCCTACCCTGTATCAGTGATCTTCCTAAAATAGGACTTTGAATCTGTCATCTGTCAGATACTTTGATGGCCACCCTCTACCCATATGATAAAGACCTAAACTCCTTATAAAAGAATTCCAGTCTGTGTCATTCATTCACGACCTAACTTCTACCTAGAAAAGAGGACTCCTCTCCAGAAACACCAAAATGACTGCGCTCCCCTGAATATTCCTTCTCAACATACTTTCTGCTGCTGTTCCTACTTTCCTCCTTTATCCGGAACTGTTTTCTTCTGATTAGATAACTTTCTTTGATTAGCTAATTCATACTCATCTTTCAGGACATCATCTAAACATCATATCCTTTATTAAGTCTTCTTCAAAACCATCCCATCGTTCCCCAGGGAGGCTATACTAACAGTATAGTGCCACTTCACTATACTGTTACAGTGCCCCATAGACATTACAATCATAGAATCTCCTGCACTGAATTGAAGATGTCTATGTGTGACTGTCTACCCTTGGATTTTGAGCTCCTTGAGGTCGGAAATAATGCCTTGATCCTCTTGTTCCTTTGTATTTAGCGCATCACCTGGTGCATAGTAACTGCTCAAATGTTTGTTCCACTGAATAGAGCAGCGGAGATGAGAAGGAAAAGATGCTTAAGAGAGAAGGAGAGAACCCGTATGATGAGGTTTGAGAAGAGTGGTAGAGGATGAAATAAAAATGGCATGTTATAGGATAATTTTGAATAGAAGAGGTACCTACAACTATGTGCCTAAGAGGAAGCAGGTAAAGATGGAAGCAGATGGAGGAAGTAAGGAATAGAGAGAGTTTCAGATTGAGGAATTGGACAGAGGGAGTGTTCAACCGAAATTTGGTAAAAATGGTGTCAGTGAAGAAACACATAGAATATATTTGCTCAGAAAGTAAATGCCCATCTTAAATACAAAGTATTTTATTCTGGAATGTGCCATTTCTTAAGGACTTGTTTATATACTTGAAAATTTTTTTCGAGACCAAGTTTTAGAAACACTCGTAGCATTTGCCTTGCATATGTGTGCGAGTGTTTGGATATCTTTGCTTTTCTGACAGTCTGCAGACTTGCCACCAGAGCTGGGATTGTTCATTGTGGTATTGCTTTTAGTGGAGTCCAGTGAAACATGACTCATGGCAAGGCTGCCTGCACTGTGGGAAGAGTAACTGTAAATTGTCTTGAGAAAGGCAGATTTTGTGTTAGTCTCTTGCTTGCAAAGAATAACATAACATTTGGGAAAGAATGTGCAGCATAGGATCCCATAGTTAGATATTAAAATAACAATAATCTCCACAGCTGGCAAATATTTGCCAAATGTGGTAGCATAGACAGGGATGAACGTGATCCAAGCTATGAAGTAAATGAGCATGCCAAATGTTATGAATTTGGCTTCATTGTAATTCTCAGGTAATTTCCTGCCCTTGAAGGCAAATATGAAACAAATGAAGGCCAGGACGGCAATATAGGCCAGCATGATGCCAAAGGCAAGGATGGATCCCTCTTCACATTCCAGGATAATGACTCTGGGCAAGGAGACATTCTCTTTCACAGTAGGAGCTGCAAAGATTAGCCAGAGTGTGCAAATGACAACCTGGATACCTGTACAGGTGAAGATGATCGGGATCGGTTTATAGAGGCACTTCAGGAAGTTCTGCAACTTGGGATCGAAACTAAAGGCTAGCAAAATTTTCAGGGACTTTGTCAAAATGCAGGAGATGCAGAGAGTGAAACTCACGCCAAATAGCGTCTGCTGGGTTTTACATGTGAAGTCTTGTGGTTCTCCAACGAAAAAGCCTGTGCTGGCAAAGTTGAGGAAATGACAGAGGAGGATCACGTAGCAGATCACTAATCCACCAGACGATTTCACAATGGGTGTGTTCAGATTTCTTGTAAATATTATGCCAATGGCCAGAACAAACATGATTCCCATCAGGGAGAGGGCCAGGAGCAGGAGAGCCAAGGAGTCATTCCAGTTGAGATACTCCACTTCCTTTTCAAAGCACATCGTGCTCCTTACAGGGGCCCAATGTGTTTCGTTGTTGCATAAAAGGCAGTGATCCATATCTAAAAGACAGAGGAGATTCAGTTACATTGCAAACATTTAAACCAGGTGATTGTCCACAATGCTACAAATAGAATCCTTCTCAGTAAGAGTCCTGACTAGAAAACAGATAGAGATCATGATCACATTGGTTACTTATTAAAATAAAGCATACACGGAACCCAAAGAAAGTGAGAAAGAAGAGTGAGCGAAGAGAAAGAGAAGAAGAGAAAGAGAAAAAGCCAGTTGGGCTGTGAGTCTTTAGGAAATTAATATACTTAAGATAGATGCTAGCCTCATAAACTTGCAATTATAGGTGGCAGTTCAGAGACTCTGCTAAGAATTCTGTGAACACAATGAAATATATATATGCCTTACTGTTGAATTGTATACCTGAAACTTACTGGAATTTTTAAACCAATGTCACCATAATAAAAAAAAAAAATGAATTAAAAAAAAAAAAAAAGAAATGATGATATTCAACTCAGAAAAAAAATTCTCTTAAGAATAAGAGCTTTGGAATCAGATGCATCTCAAGTGTCTCGCTCCATCTCTTATGTTGTAGTGACTATAATTACCTGTCTGATTACTATAGTGATTTTCAGGACAGTTCACACATTCATAGCAGCAGATATGTTGACTTCTCATAGTTTTCTTCATTTGCCCAGGACTGCATTCTGTGGAGCATTTGGATCGAATTTGCTGAAAAGTGAAAAGAAACTCCAAATAAAAGTTTAAAAGATTTATCTTAACTAACTTGGACTAAACTTAAAGATATATTTACTAAATAGTATTTTAGTCTTTTTTTTTTTTTTTTTTAGCATAATAGAATTGTTCTGTCATCTGGAAAAATGTGAACAAGTCTAAAAAATAGAAAATATTTCAGATAGTGAAATTCCTTTAGGAAGACAGAGTTTCCATCATGTTAACAAATTCTATAAGCAAATAAGAGAAATTAGCTCTTTCAAAAAGTTCCTAACAGAAGGAGAAATGTGCAGTGGTGGAACTAAAGAAAAAAAATGATGGTTTGGAATTTCCCAATCATGTGCTGTATAAAAAGTTCAACTATATAAGAAGATAATAAATTGTTGGACTTTTATATTCTTTAGAAGAAGGTTATTAATCACGCTGTCCAAGAACCATGTCCAATTTAATCTTAAAAAACAAAACAATGGAAAAATTTGAATTTATAACCATTAAAGTATTAGTTTAAAAAACAACCCTATGTATATGAATAATATTTAAACCATCCTGAGAATTTAGGTTATAATTCCGCTGTCACGATGTGAATCATACGTAGCCTTCTACTTTTATAAAAGCCTCTGTTTCCAATCTAGCTAGTAATTCCTCAGCTGTGTTATTTTTTCCATTCACAGTCCCTTTCTCATGACATATCTTGCGAGATAAATCTGTTATTGCCTCACTCTTACCCTTAGGAAGCCAAAGCAGAATGGGTAAATGAGACATTCTCTAGATTCTCTTAATGGTTTTTTCTAAGTACTGATATAACTAGTCTTTTCTATGGGAGATGAAAATGATCTGGCTGAGAGAGAAAAGTAGCCAAGGTTCAGCATCCCTATGTCTATAAGCACTGTCTTCCTTTTTTTCAGCAGGCAGGGTATCCGCCTTGTGGATTCCCCAGGACAAACTTTTAATCTGAAGTATTCATACTCTGGAGGATGCTCAGAGTACACTAAAGGATTTAGCTATGAGATAAAGCTAGACATCATTAAGGGGATAAAAGTGCAACATTCCTTTCTAGAAACACAGCCGTTTCCCTCCCCTCCACATAAGGGATAGCAAAGACATTCTAAAGCCTGGTATTGATAACTTTGGGCTATCAATAGATTTAGGATTATCTGATGTCTTGGACTATGAGTTCCGATGATTTACCAGAAATGCTATAACCCTACTAACCTGCATATTGACAAGTGGGTCTTGAAATCTGACCTAACTGATTTCAAATATAATTGGTTTCTACTACCTCCTTGAAATATATGGATGTTTCCATCAGAAAGAAAAACTTGTCTCTCTTTTTATGGTGATCAGTCTCTTCCATTCTAAAAATCACTAAAAAATCCACTCCATTATTTGTTATCGTATCACCTTCTTCTTATTGAGTGTCTCCCCTAAAAAGTTTGGAGATAAGTCTTGGTAACAATTAAAAACAGTGTTTCTTGCAGAAATTATAACAACGAATCCTCTCTGCATTCAATGAGAAAATGAGTCACAGCATAGTTTAAAAGATCCAGTGTAAGTTACTGTGTTTAAGCAGAGTGCTTGTTGGGTTCACAAGGTAGTTGTAAGGATGGTGATGATAATAATGAAAGTGATGATAAAAGTTTGAAAATATAGAAAGACGACTATCTTTCAAGGAGAAAGTATTTTTGCTTTACTGAAACTTATGACAGGGAAAATTAGAACAAAGATAGTGGCTTAAAGCATTACTATATTTATTCTTTCATCCAACACATATTTTTTAAGTGCCCATTATATGCCAGACACTGGTGTAATTGTTGGAGCCACAGCACGGAAAGGCACAAATCCATGTTCTCATAGACCTTCGGTTCTAGTTGACAATATACAAGATACAAATTAGCAAAATGTACAGAATGCTAGACAGGGATAAGTGTTAAGGAGAAAAATAAGGATGGGGGGTATAAGAAGTATTAGGTTGACACTGCAATTTTAAATAAAGTGACAGGTGATGGCCTCCCTGAGATGGGGACATTTTAGGAAAGACAGAAAGAAAGTAAGAAAGTAAACTACATGGACATCAGAGAAGATTATTAAAGCAAAGGAAATGGGAAGCAAAAGGCCTTGAGCCAGGAAAAGCGAAGGCATGTATGGAAGAGCAAGAAAACTTGAGGGGTAGTAGGGAGGGGTGAAAGTTAGTGGAAGGTAGTAGGTGATGAGATCAGGAGGTACTGGAGGCAGGCCATGTAAGGTTTTTTTTTTTTTAAAGACATCGATCCGAGTTCTGAGCAAAGTGTTATGTTTTACAGGTGACTCTGGCTGCTGTTTTAGGAACAGACTGAAGGAGGCAACAGAGGAAGCAGAGAGTAGTTAGAAAATTACTGTTTTAATCTGGGTCAGAGGTGATCAGTATCCTGGAGTGGGGTGGCAGCAACAGAGTAGAGGACAAAGAGAGGTCAGATTCTGAACTCATTTTGAAAGTAAAACTTAGACTAGCTATCAAGTGTAACTGAGAAGTGACAAGGATCCCACCAGATTTTTCCATGAGAAAGCAAGAGAAGGGAGTTGCCGTTTATTGTGATGGGGGTAGGTTTGGGAGCTCAGTTTTATAGATAATTAATTTAGATGACTATTCGACATCCAGGTAGAGATGTCAATTAGGCAGTTGTGTATGTATTTGGGTTGAAATTCAGAAGAGAAAAATCTAGGAGTCATTTGTCTTTTATATAATGACATTGTTTAAATTCAAGAGCCTGAAAGAGATCACTAATGAAAGGTGTGGACAAAAAAAAAAAAGGAGAAATTCTGAGCTCTGGACATACTAATATTTATAGGCGGTGAGAATGAGGAAGACTCTGCAAAGGAGTCTGAGAAACAATGGCCAGAGATAGAAGAGAAAATCAAGTGAGTGTGGTGTTATGCAAGCCAGTAAAGCATTTCACAGAGGGGAGACCAGCCAGTAAGTAAAAAAAGGTAATGTTTGGATTTATTAACAATGGTAAATGGAAAGAATTTTGATGGATTGAAAAGAGTTTAAAAAAATTATAGAAGAGAGAAATTTGGGGCACTGAATATATTTAACTTTTTAAAAGAGTTTTGCTCTAAAAAATAATAGAAGAATGGGCAATATATGGTCGGGGAGGGGGAGGATCAAAGGACTTTTTTTCTTCCTTTTATTTTTAATATAGGAAAAACAGCACACTTGTATCATCATATAGATATTATAATAAAGAAAATACTTGAGGATGCAGGAGAGAGTGGGGCATTGCCAGAGCAATATCTTTGAACAAGTGAAAGGGGTTGGGATTCAAAGGTCAAGTGCAGGAGTTGACCTAGGAGCACAGACAGTCCAGCCACAGTGCCAGATGGAAGGAAGGGACATGGGCACAGATGTAGTGGCCAGGGAACTCTAGAGTTTTCTTCTGATTGTTTGCTTTGTTAGTGAAAGAGGAAGCAGGGTCAATTGAAAGTAAAGACGGGGAAGATAAATTGGAGTCAGAGAAGAGAAAACATAAAAAAGTCATCTAGGTAGGTAGGCAGGTTAATAAACTAGGGTAATAGTCTGATTGCCCAGCAGCATTGGGGCCCACTGGGGGTTAGAAATCATGAATTTAAAGTCAGAACAGTCAGTAAGGTGTCTTTTTGTGTGTTTGGTTCTTTTCCAAGTTCAGCTACATGGAGCCTACACTGATTAGGTAGAGAGTTTAACTTAACCAGGACTTTGCTTTGGTCAAATGAGTATGGCTAAAGGGGTTGGGGCAAAGGAATTGAGGGTGTTCACAAGAGATTGAAACACAAGTTGACCAAGGAACTTAAGGAGGAAAGTTGGGGACAGTGAACAGGTAGTAGCATTACTGGAGGTCCTCATGGGGTCAAGGACTTTTGCAGTTGAGGTACCAATTGATTCGAATGCTGCAAAGCAGCCTACAATTACCTTAAGATTCCTGAACTCGTTTCTTGTTTCCTGGTCTGTAATGATAAAGACATCCTTCTTTAGGTCATATTGTGCCATCTTTGTGACAGTCATGTGGCCATTGATCTCCTTCCAGAGTACAACGTCATATCCAGTATTCATATCCCCATGGGCATCAAAATGAAATGAGTTCCCTCCATCAGTGAATGTCACATTTTTCAGTACCGCAAGTAACTATGAAAAATAATAACAGAAACAAACACTAATAGAAATATTGTAAGTGTTTATCCATTATCTCAATTATAACAGTGCCTTACAAGGAATATCACTTAAAAATTAGAAGAAGGCAATTCTGGATCAATGAGTACGTAAGCAGTTGATAAGGTTCCTTACTATCTGGCAACAATTTGAGAATTCTAGCCTCATTTCTGTGAAAGTCTTGCTCTGTGAATTTGAGAAAGCAAGTTAATGTTTTTGGAGGGGAGCTCCTCTAGCCCATAAAATTGAAATCTGAATATGTTCTTTTTCATTGTTGCAGAATTTCAGAATGTGTCTTCTGGGGCAAATGCCTGGGCTCGAATTATGGTTCCATATCTCATTAGTGGTGTGAACTTGACAGTTACCATTTCTTTCCAGGCCTCAGCTCCCCCATCTGTAAAATAAGGTAAATGAAACCTACTTTATAGGGTTATTGGAAGGATTAAATGTAATTAGGCACGTAACAAGTTTAGTTTAGTATCTGCATAGATTAAAGGTTAATAAAGGTTAAATTAATACCTATTAATACCTGTATTAGGTAATAGGGATGTAGTGCAAACAAATAAAAATATTTTGAGTCTATTAACTAATAATGTCAACTGACACTCATATACGACTTGCTAATATTCAAATCTGTGATATCCTTTTACTCCATAGCAACTCAGTGAAGAATGCTGAGCCGGAATCATCTTCTTCTTTTCTTAGATGATGCCACAGCCATGGGTTGAAGAAACTAATCTGAAGACACATAACTTAACTTTCATTCTGGGGATCTTTCCATTGCAGCTAACAATATATTAATTCAAAATCTCTTCACGTTTGTTTCCCTTCTGACTCAAAAGGGAAAGCTATGGCACGGGGGCAAATCATCCTTACTTCTAGTGTCAATCGACCCCAGTCCTTGGCGGGGTATGAGTGGGTAATCCAAGCCAGAGCTCACCATCTTCAAAATGAAGGCTGAGGGGACAGAGAGAGCTACGAACCTGGGAGACAGTCCAGTTACAACAGTATCCTGCTCCTGGGTGTGTACTACGGAGTGCCCCCACCGGAGAAATTTTTTTAGTTGGTGGGCGTAAGTATGGGAACGGCTGTTGCCCACCCTGTAAGTTCAAACTTTGATACTCGTTGGGTAGAAAGTGAGAATCTTATTATCTCCAGTGGTTTTCAAGTCTGCTTCAGTGATTGAGTGCATAGTAAAATGACTTCTAAAGCCTATTTCTAATTAAATTCATAAAATGATTTTTGAGAGGATACGAATGTAGTGAAAACTACTTGTCTTATTACCTAATTTATACAGTGAGAACTTGCATGCATTACACCTAGGACAGGAAATGTCTTACTGACAAATGAGGCATCCATATTAAGCTTGTGCTGCAGCGGAAGAACACAGGACTAGGCAGGAAGAAAACCTGTGGCAGTTCTGCCTCCACCATTAACTTGACACGCAGTTGTAGCTGAGTAAGTAAGTACCTTCTGTGAACACACCTTACTCACTCATTATCTAGATCTATGATGCCATTTTATTGGGTGTGAAGTCTAGAGAATGAGGCAAAAGTATTCTATTTGAATAAAATTATTTTTCTATTCCCCAGTTAATCTTCTATGACTATTTTAATTTTTTTTGTCAAGTTATATTTTAAGGTAAATGTATTAGCTACTCTAGTCGTGTCAATGACCAAATGTCACTTTAGTAAAATCTCTGAGTGTATTGATTTTAGTATACATTCTCAAAGATTTCATAGTTCTTTTAATGAACGTAAACTAATTAGTATTACATTAAAGAAGTAGGATGTTATGTCTAACATGATGGAATTGACCAAAAAAATATCTTGATCTAGCAACTGGATGGAAGAAAAAAATGGAACAAAACTATAGGTATAAGTGAGGGCCTACTGTCAATGTTTCCACCTATACCTGTATATTGATTTTTCTTCTGTTCCTTCCTTAAGCAATACACACACATATAAGCTCCAGTAACTCAGTTCTTTAGGGAGCATATCCTCTTCCACTCTTGTGTTTGAACTAAAATTTCCACCTGTTTTTTCCTGCATTTAATTAGGTTTTACAGGGTAAAGTTTTGACACATACACGTTCTGTAAATGATGATAACATTGTATGATGTAAATAAACTAGAGCAATTCTACACTTGTTCTTACCGGAAAGAGGGTGGAGGCAAATAAAACAGCGTGTTCATTACTTGTTAAATATGACAGAACATTTGCTCTGCATTAAAGTAAAATTGAACATTACAGTTTCAGTTATTAAGCTATTAAATTCTTTTTCCATCAATTATTTATATTTCATTGATACTGAAATTCACTATAAATTGACACTACAAAATTTAGAGTAGGATTCACATTTCCATTATTAGATAATTTACCTCTGTATGGTAATGACCTGTTTTTTGAGAACAGAAGGCCAGGACACTCCAATTAAGCTGTTGTAGTTGATATTGTTTTCTATTTCCTTAACTGCACTGATGTCCACTCTATCTCCACAAGTAAGCTGTGCTTATGAAAAGAGGTATCTGTGTGAGTAAACTAGGGAATAGCAAAAGCAGCAGCCTTGCATCTCTGTCTGGTACCCAACCTATGATTTTTTCTTTTGTGAAGTTTTTTGTGGTATAATGAAAAGCCCACTGGACTAAAGCTGGGACAGTTTCATTGCTAACTGTGTGGGTGACCATGGGCCAGGCCCTTATTATTTGAGGTCCCCTCCATTTTTAAACTGCTGCAAGTATCAGTCACATTCCGTTACCACTTCCTTAGAATGGAGTATAAAGAATATGAGTCCTGTGGACCTACCATTTTATAAAGACTAGAGATGATGAATGTCAGTTCTTAGTACAACACGCCTTAAAAATATTTAGTTATTGCTTTTCTTATCACTCCCAAATTACTGTCTTGGAACATGTCTCTTCTGACTCCTAGACTAATATCTGATGATCATTGCTACACTAGGATACCTCATAAGTTCTTCAAATTCGACATCTCCAAAACAAAATGCTTAATAGTTCCTCTTGCCACCAGACCTCCACTTTTCTCTGTGTTTCCAATTCAAAAAATGGCACCAAATTTTTTAATAAGTTGCAACATATTTGCTTCTATCATCCTTTACATCCAATCTCTCTCCAAATGCTCTTCATCTTTCCTCTTAAATATCCATTTATATGTCTCTCGCACCTGTAGTACAAGGCATTCTTATCTTATGCTTGAATTACCAAATTGGTCTTTCTCTCTTTAGTCCTGTGTCCCTCTAACCAATGCACACTGTGGTGGGAATGCTGTTTCTATAGTGGAAAGCAGAGCACAACACTTTTCTGTCTAAAAATATCTTTAATTGGCTCCCCTTTGCTCTATCAAGTCCAAGTCTTTAAACACAGTATGCAGACTTTCTGTTTAAAGGACGGTCACTGTATCAGTGTCATCTGAAAGCTTGTTAAAAGTAGAAACTTTCAGGTGACTCCCCACCCCCAAACTACTGAATCAGTATCTACACTATAATAAGATTTCCGTGCAATTCAACTGTACTTCAAAGTTTGAGATGCTCTATTAACAAGGCCCTAATGATGATCCTTCACTAAACCCCGAGTCTCATTTGCTTCTAGTTTCCACAAAAGACTCCAGTTCCATGGCACTATTTTCTCTCCCACAGGATGCCATGCTTTTTCTCCCTTCTGGAACTTTGCTGGAGTATTTCTGCCCTGGCTAACTGCTACTCATCCATCATATTCTCTAGAGATGTCACGATCTTTGGAGAGTGTTCTCTGAATTACTAACACTGGATTAGTTGTCTCAATTGTGTGCGTCTCTACCATCTTGTGTTTGTATGAAACATTGTAATACATCATCCTGTGTTGTAGTCAGCCCCTAATCGTTGATTGTATATCTCACTAAACAGATGATTCCTTTAGGAATAAAGTTATTTTACTTTCTATAATATTTTTAGCACTAACACAATGCCTGGAATATTGAGACATCCAAAAGATATTTGCTAAATAAATGTATTTATAGAAGTTGGACTATTAGACATCCTTTCATCATATACATTACTTACCACCTTGTATGTCATTAGAAGTAAAGGAAAATAAAAAAGAAAACCAAAATTACTTATTGTACTGTCCCCGAATACTGCTCACAGATATCAGCGAGTGTGGAGCCAAAGTAAGGATTATCCTCAAATATTGGGAAAAACTAACTCCTTTCCAGCTTTTTAAATCTAAAATCATTCAGAATCTATCATTTAAATATTCACGAATTTTGCCAGGGGACAAAATAATATTGAGGAACGTGTCTTTGAGTAGTGACCCTGAATGTTGCTGATCTTTTAAATTTAATGTCTATGGAGATTCCTTTATAAAAAGAGAAAATTGTTTGCATTATTTGTCTGACTAAACGGGGCACAGACCTAGCTCACTCACATCATGATCAAAGGAGCAAGGCACTCCCCTTTATTTCCTTTTCAATCTGTTTCTGTTTGTTTCTAGATAAATAGGCTCCCTTGCACATAAAGAATAACCTCAGGCTTCTAGTGTTTAAATAAAACATTTTAGCAGACTCTGCTTAGAGTATACTTTCTTGAGTCTTTTCATCAGAATGTTTGAGATTTATTCCTGATTTAAAATACTTTCCCAGAGATTTAAAGGATAATTAGCTCTTCTATTTGTATTTCTTTTTCCTTATGAGCTTCCCATTTATCCTGTCTGTCTCTCTGATGTTCTATTTTCTCTCCATATTCTTTCAATCTCTCACTCGTAAAATTCTATGTTGTAGTTTCATCCTGGTGGTCCACTTATAGTTTTTACTAACCCCTCATTAAAAATTTTATAATACAGTGTATGCTTTCAAACAGGCCTCTTAAAATCACTAGACATATAAATAAATATATATTTTTTAAAAGACAGTTTTAATTTTAAAAAATCCTAATCTCTAGTCTTTTTCATTAGGTTTCGTACTTTTTATTTACAAGGTGAAAACTAGTTTTAAAGTGAGCAATTTAAAATATCCTATGACCATCACATGATCCATCCAAATGTAATCTGATTGACTCAGACCTTGGAGCTTATGTTTGTGGGTGTTTAAAGTAGAAATTACAAAATTAGAAATAGCCTGTCTTGTATACACACTTGTAAAATCAGAAGAATTGAGGGTTATTCCCTTTTCACCTACTTTTCCCTTACAAATTTAAAAGAAATATATTTTTGGAATGTAATTCTGCCTCAATACACATTATTGAGGAATTTATTCCTGACAATTAAAATTTATCATTATATAAAGCAGCAATTTGCTTTTAAGTGCCTTGTTTATGGGCATTAAAAAAGAACAATGGAAAATTTAAACTAAATAGGGCTACATTAAGCTTTGGGTTTCTACAAACCAATTAAAGAGGAGAAAGGGAAAGACTTCTTTTACATGTAATTAATGTTCATTTTAAACTGAGATATAGTAGGAATTGTAATGATTGACCTAACGACAATCATTTGAAGAAGACTGGAGTCCTAGGGAGATAGTCCTAAGTAAGAGTCATAACTGGAGACACCATGAAAAGTAAAGGGCGTGGAGTCAGAAGAGCCAGACTAGAATTATATTTCTGGCATTTCCTAGCTTTGGTTTTCTCATCCATAAAATTTAGTAATAATAAAAAGGATTGTTAAACATGCTGGTCTTGTGTTTTTTAAGAGCATTAAAAGAGATAATTTATATGAAGCCTTGATCAGTTGCAAATCCATAAACTCATGGAAAATAGAACTAGAATCTTCTTGGAAAATAAAAGAGAACAACTTTGATGGATCAGAGTAGGAGATGAAGGTAAAATAACAGCTCTGTTATCCTTAAGAACAAAGAACTAATGGTAGAAAGGCAGGTTATTCAAAACCTGAAGTAGTCTACAAAAGGAATAGTTTTAAAAACAGTTCATATAACTTTTTGCAAATTAAAGCAATGAAGAAAATGGAGGAAATGATGGTAGGGAATTTTCTTGGACATGTGAGTTAGTACCTCCCATGGTTGAAAGGCACTGGGGTTCTGACAGTCTCGAGCTTGGCACAAATCCCGAAGGGCATAACCAAGGGCAAACACCGCGAGCTGAATACTGTGAATAAGTCCCGGCTCAGCGTAATCCCACAGGAAGTCATTTCTCAGGAAGAAATTCCTTTCTCTATCCTTATTAGCCTTGTAGGCCAAAGTCCCCTGAGAATGGTTGGAAATGCATTGACTCAAATCACTGTCCTTGGCATATGCACAGGCAGACAAGAGCATGGTATATTCATTTAAGGGTTTGTTATTATCATTGGGAAACATATGCAGATTTTGAAGAAAGGACTGGAAAGAGGACATATTTCCTCTTCTAAAAGTAAACCCTATAATTTTGCCAATCTTTTTAACATTAGGGATGCTGGTAATCTTGGTGGCTGTTGACCAATTATCACTAGCAATCCAGACCTTATTTATATTCCTCTCGATGGCTTTACTAAAGAGTTCAAAAACATGGAATTGCCTCAGAAATACCACAATGACATTAACGTGGACTTCTGCTATGATTTTCTCAAGTGTCTGATTGATCCTGACTTCAATGGTATTATCTGAGAGGAAGACTGGGAGAACTTCTTTGAAGGCTATGCACACGTTATTTGCTGCAGTCTGAATTGCAAAAGTGTTGAGAGCTAATCGTCCATAGTCATCATCTGTGGTTATGATGCCAATCCAGTTCCATCCAGATTTCCGAATCAGGTGGGCCATTGCTTTAGTTTGATAGAAGTCGCTGGGCACAGTCCGTAAAAATGAAGGAAAACGAATTTTGTCGCTTAGGATTTCTGCAGTTGATTCGTAACTCACCTGGAAATTGACAGAATCTTTTGGTTACAGTGTTGAAGAACTCCAGGTGGCTGTTCATAGTATGTGTTCTTCTCTTTGATTATTGTTGAGTTTTCATAAACTTTTACTAAAGTCTCTGGTCCTTTCCATCCTTCCCTTTCAGTGAACTCTTCCTTTACAAATAATGTAAATCATGATATTTGGTACCTGGTGACTGTTTTAGAGTCATTGCTCTCTAATCATTTCATATTGTGTATGGCATAAGCCCTTTGAGGGTTCAGGCTGTACCTTATATCTCCTTCTATACCTTCGTTATCTATCTATATCTATCATATCTCAGACCAAGGCCAAGGGTGGTTATTATTTAAATACTTAGAGATAAATACAGGAAAGACACAGGTAGTCAAAAAAGCAGAATGCATTTTGGGACATCTAGTATGTTCAAAATTTTGTCTAATTTACAACTTTGATGATTTTTTTTTTAAAATAAATCATCCAGTCAAATAATCACCTAGTCCAAGGGTCAGCAAACTTTTTCTGTAAAGAAGAACCAAATATAAAATATTTAAGCTTTGTTGGTCACATATGGTCTCTGTCATATATTCTTTTTTGTTTTTGTTACAAACTTTTAAACATATAAAAATAATTCTTAGCTTGACAGCTTAAGAGCTGGAGAGCCACATTTGGTCTGCAGGCCGTTTTCTGATTGCTGATCTAGTCAAATAAGCATCAGAATTTGGATAGACCTACCTAATGTGTGCAAAATTTTGAATGACTTACAGCTTTGGTGCAATTGAACAATTGCAATGTGTCACTTGCTCAGTGAATTTTTTTTTTCTTTTACTGTCTACAGCAGCCAAATGGTATGATGGAAAAACAGTAGGCTTTGGAGTCAGATAAACTGAGAATCCTAACTTCAATAAATTTGGGGAAGTTAGTTAACACTTTGTTACCTAGGATTCTTGTAAAGATTACAGGAAAAAATTTAAACGGATATTAACACTTGGTGGACCTTCACTAAACCTTACTTCCCTTCCTGGTACCTGACGTTGCCATGCCTGCCTATGTTGTGAGAGCTGGACTTCTGTAAAATCAGTGTTACCCATTCAGGTCCCCTTTCCTTTTGCATTGTCTATAGTGGAAATTACATGTCTGCATTAAATGATTATTGTCAAAAAGAGTCTACTCTTCTTACTTATCACTTAACTAGCATTATACATAGTCTAAAAATTTTGAGTCTGGAATATCTGAGATATTTGAGAGCACAATTATTTTGTTTTGTCATTTTGGATTTAAACTTTTTCATAATCAACTTCATTAGGCTATAACATAATGGAACTCTTGAGTCTTTCATGGGCATATACATTTATTTATCCTAGGTTAGGTATTTTGAATTCTCATGCATGTTTATTTTATTTTTTTATCTGTTCATTTCTATCACATGATCATTTCTTGATAATCTGACTATAAGCCTTTTTATTGTCTAACTTTTGGCTTCTAATCTTTCTTGAACTTAGAAAGCAATGACTTACTGAGTTACAGAATGATGTGATATGAAGGTAAGTAGCTCAAAATGAAAGCCAACAGGACTCACTTGACTCTGTAATATGCAAGAATTTAGTGCAGGGCTCTGTAAAATCTGTTTTGGTCTTTCAGAGACCATTTTGCTTAATCCTTGTTATTGGCTTGCATTACAGTGAGATATGTAGTTCCACAGTCTCTGCTCAAAGCCTTCTCATCATGCTCAGAACAAATGTAAATCATACCACAGCTAATAAAATGCCACATGACCCGGCCTTGGCCTATGTGTGTAAATGCATCTCTTACTACACTCCTTTCTGCTCAACTAATCCAGACATATTGACCTTTTTGTTATTCTTTGGACATGTCAACTCTACACTTGCTGATTTTCAACCTAGATACTGTCTGCCCCTCCCCCATCTTTCCTCAGCTGCCCCTTCACATTTAAGTTTTAAGCAAAACATCACCTGGAGAAGTCTTCCTTGACCTCCACTCCCCTTTATCCCTCACTCTCTCTTCTGTTTTCTTCAGAGCACCTGACTGATGTTATTTCGGAAACAAGGTAGTTGAGGTTTGTGTCTGATCCAAATCACATTGAAAACTGTCAGAAACTAGACATGACAGATTGAAGGGTGGCTACTCCCTCAGTGCTTTGTCTACTGTTTGATCCAGAGTAGGGCACATCCTTTCTTTGATGGAAAAGAAAGGAAAGTTAAAGGAAAAGCAACTTTCTATTTTCCCAGGTTACCTCAGTCCTTTAATAATAAAGAATATAATCAAAACCAATGTATGGAGGTAGAACAAAACCTACCTGCGGCATGAGCTGTAAATTCAACATCCTGGAGACAGCCATGCTTATTTCTGAGTAGCCAGCCCCTATGACAGCCTTAACCCTTGGCATGTAGGTGGAATAGTCACATTTAAACTCCACAATTTCTCTGGAGCAGTTGAACTTAGAAAGAAATCGCAGAGCAGCTGCCATTGCCACTGTGACTTCTGAACAAGTGTCATAGATTTCGTACCCCAGTTTGACTCCAGATAAAAGTGTTGAATTATTGATCATCTCGATGCTGTGTATCATAGCAAGAGTTTGAAGAAAAATTGATATTTCAAAGCTGTTGAGAAACAAGTATTTTTTGAAGTCAGAATATAACTCTTCTACAGATATGGCGATATCTCATTTTATCCACATTTCTGCCTTATAGTAGATACTTTCTGGATCAGTAAAAATTACCTCTTGAGGGGTCTAAACTTTATTTAAAAATAATTTTTGATGGAAAGCTTTCTAAAGGGTATGTAGGAACCTGTACTTTCTTACAAGGGTTCTATGGAACAGGATTTAATTCTTTCTTAATGAATTTTGGGATAATTTTAAACATTCAATTTAATATTCAACAGTATGAAGAAATGTTTGATATTTGTTCCTTTTTGTAGTTAAATGTCAGCATTTTATTGCTGTCCAAGCACCTGCTCTTTTAGGTTCACAAGCTCATCTTTTACTTTTCTGATTCTAATCTGTTGTGGTCTAAAACCAAATTAATAAGGCTCTTAAAAATTACAAATAAAACAGGCTCAGAATAAAATCCCAGAGCTTTCTCCTAGATAAAGGACATTATTTTAGTTCCAAGGCATAGCTATTTTCTCTTTCAGTGGGCTTTTCCAATTGACTTCTGGATTTGTGATTATTCCAGAGCACTGAGTTGTTTGGTTACTGATTTACTGTTAAGTTTATTTCATCACCACTATATATAAAAGTTTACAAACATAACCTAAAACATAATAAGGGGTCAATAAAGGTTTTAATAATAAATAAAGAAGGATATTATTGTTCAGGGTTTTGATATTCTAGTTTTCTTTTACTTCACTGAGTTATGATAAATTAAATAGAACTATTTGAATAATATTACTGTCATAGTACACTAAAGTGAAGTTTGGCAAATTAGCATTAAGTTTTTAATTTAAAGAAAGGCGCAAAAAAGAGAGAAAGCTTAAAGTAATGAATCGTTGGCCAATTAAAACGTATTTTCAGAGTACCCCACATGTTGGCTCCATGAGAGTCAGAACCTCTTTGGTGTATTCACTTCAGTATCTCCAGTACCTCGAATTGGGCCTAGGTAATGTAAGTGTTTAATAAATAGTTGTTTAATGTTGAATGACTACTATTCTCTCAAGGAGTGACAATAGGTAAAAGGATGTTCAACTTAGTGCTTTTTTTTTTTTCCCTAGGATAAATTTCCTTATTAGATCAAATGATTCTTTAGTGTTTTCCACCTTAATTGTTGGCTTATATTTCTGGGCCTCAAATCTGCAATCATTCTTTGGGTACCAATTTAGTGCTCTAAAAATCTTCATTAATTATTTTAGGATATTCCCTGGTATTCGTGATAATCAGCAATTATAATGATAGCAGTTTAACATGCCGAGCTTCTGGGTAAAATGCCAGGAAGGAATCTCAGTGTGAGGTGGGATCACATTTTATCTGAAGGCATTCTTAGAGGGCTTGATAAATACTTTTCTTTTTTAATTTAAGTATAGTTGGTATCAATAGTAAGTGCTTTTTGATTAAAAAAGAAAGAAAAAATGGAGGAGAAAAAAAGGAGGTTAAACTTACACACAAAAACATCAAGATAGAAATAAGGATTTTAGAGGTAGAAGGAAGCATGAGTTTCACATTACCATAACAACAGAAGCCGATGCTACCTGTGTCCTTTAGAGGGTATCTAGGCCCCTTATTTTATTAGTGAAAACTTTGAGAACTGGAACTCAAAGAATTTAAGTAATTTGCCTAAGTTTACAAAATTAGTTTGCCCCCAAACTGAAATTAGATTTTAAATATCTTGTTCTCCTTAAAGACAAGCCATATGTAATATCCTCTACCCAGCTATACTTCTCCATATTACACTGCGCCAACTGTCTTTTCTAGAGTCAAACTTTCACAATGTATAGTGGCCATCAAAGAAGGAACACTTTGAATTGAGGTTGGGCTTTAATTTATCATAAAAGAATTAGATTCTGTCAAGAAGGAAATGAATACAATGTTGACAAAAACGTTAGTATAGAGAACAAAATTAAATGTAGTCTACTTTAAATAAAGAATTAAATAATAGATCCATGTTTAAAACAAAATGCATGTTGTGGATGATAAGAAATAGAAATGAGCTAGGTGTGGTTGTGGTGGCTACAGTGTCTTCATATTGGTTTTCTCTATTGACTTCAGAGATTATTTTTTTAGGCAAAATCCATATAAATATATTAATGGAAAGCATTTATTGCTTCTACACTTGGAGGTTAGTTATACATATAGATATAGATATCTCTCTCTTTTAAGAAAGCATCACAAGATCATGTGCAACTTAAAAATATAAGAATTTAAATTTTATTAAAATAAGTTATATATCAATAAAGTAAACATTTACATGCCAGTCTCACTGTATAATCTTGAAATCTAATTGTATGATTTAAAGCTTTACTTACCCAACACACTTCTGGATTTCTGGTCGTCTAGGATAGTCTTCTGAGAACAGCATTTTTTCATGAATGTCAAACAAACCTCCAATCATAATATGCCCTGGAGAAGTGGCAGCCACAAAGTCATCAGGGCTCTGGCAAGGCTGGGAAGTAGCAAGAATAATCACAAAGCAGGTAATCATTATAATCAATAATGCCATGTTTCTATCTCATTTGCTCACTTCATGCACGTTCTTAAGAATCGTTAAGCTCTCGGAGCATCAACATGTTCCTATTTCACTTGTAAACACTATGTACAGTATAGGACAGTGTCAAGGGCCAGAATCACTCTGTATTCAAATACTTGATGATAGTCAAAACAGTTCTTCACCAATAAGAACATATCAGACTTTCTAACACTGCTTTGTTGGAGATTTGTGATAGCAGGAGCACTAGGTAAAAGCTGATAGAATTAGAAACACAGTCTTACTGTGATAGCCTCTTTTTCTTCACTTACGTCAAGCGCTTTGAATTATGTTGGCATTTCTTTTGAAATAGAATATAGAATCTTTAAGAGGCAGCAGTTTGGGAAAGTTTTCCCACTTCAGAAATGGAAATTTTAGGTTTCCAGAAGTATTACATTCAAGGCATAAAGGCTTCAATGTAGTTTAAAACTGTTTAGAAAAATAGCATCCTGCTTTTATTTTTTTGGAAAAGTTCTACTTAAAAAAATGAAATTCAGTTAAGTTTAGGAATTTATCACTTCCTGTTTACATGTGTTAGAAATAAGTAGCTTTTGCAGTGATGGGAAAAACTAAAAATGAGATGAAACTTGTGTTATAGTATTTTGCTTTGAACAAGAAAGGTCTGTTATATATCACTGACACTTGCACAGTTGTTCATGGATTTTATTTTTATAAATTTAGAACTAATTTCAGGCTACATGTTCTTAAATTCTGGGAATCTGAACTAACATGATTTTATGGATATCTTTTAGAATTTAACAGAGGATAGATAAATCCCAGTAATTTAGACATCGTTAAGAAAGATTAAAAATTTTAAACTTTATTTTTTGAAATTAATCTTTTATAAACATTGGATTAAGAAGAAACATTATGGGCAAGCACGTCCAAATCTACTACATTCAGTTTATTTGATGGATAGCAGACACATTTAAAGGCATTTCAGAAAATAAAAGAGTATAATGGCTGATAAGGCATTTTTTTCATCCAAATTAGCTTCAGTTTCCATTGACATATGGGTTTATGCCGACTGAAGAGTGGAGAGTCAAAGTTCTTCACAGCGTCAATTTTTTTCTTAAGTCTTACCATTTTTACCAGTGGTTAGGACCCAAACCAGTTAACTTCAGCTGTCCAGAAAGTTTAATAAACATACATAAGTTTAATGACTCTTCAAATGTTTCACAATTGCATTTTACTCATCTTGATATTATTCATTTGTGTATGTGTGTGTGCACAATTGAATAAATTCTGTTTTCATGAATTTAGTTATTTTGCTCAAATTACCTCCAAGGTCTGCTGTTCAAAAATGATTTTGGTAAAGACATACTAAAAAATAAGAAATTCTGATAATTGTCAAGCAAACATATAATAAGTGTTAAGCAACTCAGAGTGATTCTGAAGGTATGACCCTCATGTGACCATATTAATTTGAAAATTCAGTGACAAAAGTTATACCAAATGATTTATCTTAGGTTACAATTTTAACAATATTTAGGGTCTTTGTTATCTCACAAAACTTAAACCACATTTTCTTATTTTAATAAATATAATTTAGTTTGAAAGTCTATTTCTCTAAAGGAGCCTTCTGAAGGTAGGAAAATAAAAAGGTTTTGAAAGCTTTACCCTGTAAAATGCAGTGTCATGTGGCAGAAAGGGCTCCAACTTTGGCTTAGACCTGGGTGGTCTTGCCTACCTTGGCATATCATCATGAGAGAGTTACTTAACTTTTCTGAACAATAATTTTCACATTCATAAAATACATAAGATACTCTACCTCATGAGTATGTTTTGAGACTTTCGCTGAATTGATTTGTAAAGCTTCTGCATTCTAGTAAGCACTCAGTGATCAGCTCCTGTCTTAGTCAGGATTGCTATGGCAAAAATACCATAAACTGGTGGCTTCTAAACCAGAAACATTTATTTACCTGGAAAGAATACAAACATTTATTTTGTTGGGAAGGCCAAGATATTTCACCGGCAGACGCGATGTCTTGTGAGGGCCTGCTTCCTCAACCTGGGTTGTCTTTTCACTAAAAACCTCACATGGCAGAAAGGATAAGGGAGCTTTCTCTGGCTGCTTTTATTAAGGGCACTAATCCCATTCAGGAGGTCTATGCCTCATGACCTTCCCACCTCCTAATACTATACCTTTGGAGTTAGGTTTTAGGATACGAACTTTGGGAGGACAAAAACTTTCAGAACATGGCAGCTCCCTCCTTTCCCTGTCTAAAACCAAACTGAAAGTTATTATTTCCTAAATTTGGGTGCTTTCCACAGTTGGTTAAATCATTGTCCAGAACTCTTACTCAAACATCTTAGAAATAGTGGTGTTTGTAATAGTATCACTGGCTGGTCATTATCTCCCTATAATGTAAATCCATTATTAAGTTAAGCTTAGAGGAAGATACAGAGTATATCTATTACTTCAGAATGCCATTGGACACATTATCTTCATTATTGTAGTTTTTATTATTATCAAGGCTTAATTTTAAACTAGGGACAGAACTTTTAGCCATGATTTAGAATCTACAATACTAGTATATATTTTCTGCTCTTTAAAAAGGCTTAAAAATGACAATAACTGTTACTATTTCAAGAGCGTTTTTTTGTTTGTTTAATATTTGTTTGTTTTTACCTTAAACAACTGTTTCTGAAGGATAAAAACTCTTAAAGAAATTTTGAGAGACATTTTTGATAGCACTAGCTTGTTCCTCCTTTTGATCTCAAGGTTCTATATTTCTTTGTTACTATCTTTATATGATGAGGTATCTGGTTAACATTATTTAGGTATTTGGTTAACATTATTTAAAGGGAATAGTAGAGAAGTGATATAACTTCCCAGGTAATTCTCATAAAGACACCATGCCCTGCTTGGATAAGTATAATATGGGTGTGTAATCATTGAGTAAGGATGCTTTGTTCTATCATTTTTAGTTTGTAGCACTGATGATGGGATGACTCTCCCCATGAGGAAAGGCTGCTGTGAAGACTGGGTCAGGCTGGAAAAGGTTCTCTGGGACCAGAGGAGCAGAATGTAGCATCAGCACTCTAGGAAACTTTTCAACCAGTGTGGATTGAGATCTATCGCCTTTTCACACTTAGTTTTTCCTCCCATTATCATAGCTTCCCATCTGCCCTCCCCAGCTCCACATCCCTCTTTCATATTTGATTAAATTTTACAATAATGACACCACAAAGTTGTTTTTGGTGCTATTTGCATCAGCAATGAGATTTAAAAATAGAACCTCTTCAAAATTAAAGGAATTACTTTAAACAATGGAATTTTGGATATCTGCAGGAGGAGTTGCAGAACTACAGCATGGCAGGAGCTCATGAGGAACCTTTGGATCACAGTACACAGGCAGCTGCCTACTTGGTTTGCACACAGAGCCAGCCTGACAGAACAGGTCAGAACGCTGACTCTGAAATTAAAGAAGCCAACGCCAGTGTTATGAAGGTAGATGCCAATTTCGACAGCTTAGGGGGAAAAGGCCGATGGTAGACAGATGAGCCCCAGAAAGCTAATTCTAGTTGTAGTACCTGGCGGATATGACCAAGATATTTTTAGAGTCGATAATTAAGATCATTCACTTGCAAAAATCAAAATAACAATTTATATTGCTATTGCTTATGCAGCATTAAGTGCTAGTAAGATACCTTTGTATTGTAAATAAAACACGAAATTCAGCAAGGCTTCGGCTAGAGGTAAAATTACATGGCAAAAGCCTAAATCCCCAATGGACTTGACTGGGTATATAGTTAAGTAATTTATCTCATTTAGTTTGTTTGCAAATACATCAATAAGATCAGGTTGGTCCTTAACAATGTTATAAAATAATTGAGCCAGATTTTGGTCTTTTTGCATTCTTTTCCTTATCAGGTACCCTATTCCCCTGTATGTACCCACCTTGGCTCAGTCAGTATTCCATCACTCTGCTATTCCATATTAAATTGTCATTTATCACTGCAACACTCCATCGCATACCATCTTCTCTGCTGTACTCCTGTCTATAATTTAAATTTATCTCTTAGCTTTTTGATTTAATATATAGTTTTAACACTAGGTAATTAATTTTCTTTAATGTGCAACACAGGGTATATTATTCTACTTAGGATACCTTAGGAGGTCTATAAATGGACTTCCTAGAATTCTGTGAATCCCTTAAAGATGTGTAAAAATTTTTATCAGATTATCAGAAGGGTCTGTTATGCCTAAAATAGTTAAGAACTGTCTGTTAGAATAGATTTGAGCCTTGCTTCCCAGGAAATACAGAAATGTTTTCTGAGATAATAATCCTGCTTTTGTTGTTACCCATTTGTAACTCAAGTAATCCTCACTAATCTTCCACCAGCAATTTCATCATTTGATTGATATATGTCACCATTTAATACCACCACTCAAAGGATTACCTGAGCAAATCACTTCTCATTCATCTCAGAATAGGACACAACTTAAATCACTGCTCCAAGAAGACCAGTTCTACTTACTTTACTAACCACAAATGAAGGGAAGGATGGTTGTTTTTTGGAGAAGTTAAGCAGAAGCAGTCTATAGTGCTTTATTAGTTCAGAACAGGGCAAGTGTTCATTTTTCAAAGCTGTTTTCATTTTCTTTATTCTTTTTTTTTTAACCATACAGATAATGCTAATCATTATTAAAATAATTATTATTTTGTAACTTTAAGGTGCATGTGTGTGTACTCCCCCTTCACCCGCAACCCTCTCCCTTAAGGGAAGAACTTTAATATTTTAGGTTACCATTTAGACTTACCTTTCACAGTCTCCTATGGAATGGTAATATAACATTTTATCATCTCCTTTAGCTCTAGTATTATATAGTTCCATTTGGAAAAGTATTTCTTCAGTCATCTTATCACTAATTTAAAAATAGGCAGGGAAATCAAAATCCAGAAGGATCTACCTCAGTATATACTCACTGCCTCAAACTTTTTATGTATTAACAGAATCTCTCATATTACAAACTATATTTTATTTTCAGTGGAGTTATAGAAGAAACTAAAA